GGCCAAACCGCGCCGGGGAGCGAAAAAGCGCGGGGCGGAGCCTGTGAGCGGACAAGGGCGGCCGCCGCCCGCCTTCCTCAACCCTGTCACCCGCAAGGTGAGGTTTCAGCTCCCGGTGTGTGGCTATCCCGGGCCCCGAATCCGAGTTTTTCACCCGAGTCCGTGTTTTTTTTGGGTGGGTGCCTTCATGGCGGCTGTGAGAGGCCGCGAGTCCTGGCTGACTTGGCGCTCAGTGAAAACGTTCTCGATTTCTCATATAATTCCCCCAAAACCTGTCAGGCTGTGCTGCCAGAGGTTCACCCATGGCTTCACTTCATTGGCTAAACTCCGATTTCTTCAGAGAAATGCGTTTTTTATGGCTTGCTTACACTTAAATAACGCCCCATCGATTTTTTTAGGCGAAAATTATATGGTCCAGTATATTAGGGACATGGTTTAGTGGTGGTTTTGGCAGTGTTAATGGTTGGACTCAATGATCTTAAAGGTCCCTTCCAACCTGGACGACTCTATGATTCTATATAACTATATTCTACTATAACAAGATCCTATGAATTCCAAAATGGGCCTTACCAGAGCAGTAAGTGAGCGTCTCACAGATCTCAGTGTAGATGTCCCTACCAGAGCTGGATAGGAAAGCGTTGCTGATTTCGTTTTACAGATTAATTAGTGAACATAGAAGCTAAGAGGTTTTTTTTCTATATGTCACCTGGAAAGAACACCGCACAACAAGAAGCTGAACTTTTGGCTTCTACTTCTCCCCATCTTCTCACTCATCTTTTCCCCAGCTATCTCCTAATGTCTGGAAAATACTTTTTTTTTTTTTTTTTTAAGGGATTTAGTACTGTGACAGGAGTTAATCAGCTGTGAATGCTTCTGAACTGGATTTTTTTTATTCTTCCATTATTGATTCAGTGCCTTGGTGAAACTCTTAATTCTTGTGATACGAAGAAAGCATACTATGGCTTTTCAGAACACGGATTTGTATTGTCTCTTCCTTCTGGAGTTGTTTATCTTCTCTGTTTGAACACGTACCCAGTAACATGTTCTCCCCCAAAGCTCAGGCTAGAAGGCTTTAAGACGCGAGGTCTGCAAACCTGACCTACTTCACCTGGCTGTCCCAGAGTTCAAGCTCAGGCACAGCCAGGGAAGTTGTGCCCCGTTGTGCCCGTGTTTCCAGGCAACCGTCATGTTAATCAGGAGCATCCAACTGTGCTTGATTATATCTAGTACTTGAAGCAGAAAAGGAACGTAAAATAGTTACTCTGGGGAGCAGGCTTGCAAAGTTTTATTTGGCTGCCTGGCTTCAGTGCGTAGGTACTTTGATAAGGGAGTATGCTGGTTTTCGTTGTTACCAATTTCCGTGATAAACACGGGGCAAGTAGATTTTTCATGCCTGGGCTAATAAATTTTCGTGACAATTTTTTAAGTCCAACTGAGGATATTTTATGGTTTGAGAGCCTTTCTCTTATGTGTTTGTCTTTATAGGCTCTATTTCTTTTTTTGCTAGCCATCAGAACCTGCTGAGCTATTTTTGCCTTCTGTTCAATAGGCTGCTTTCTAGCTAGCCGAGGCATGTATTTAGTTCCAGTTTTTATGTGTGTGTATGCTTTGGTTGTTTGATGTCAGACAACAAAATTGTTCAACTTTCCTGCCTCATACCCTGTTAACCTCACAAGCACATCTATTTGGAATCATGGGCATTGACATTGGCAAGTTTTGTATCCTTAGCTCCCTTCTTTCATGGTTTGAGACCCAGTCATGAACCCAAATCTTAGGTAATTTTCCTTGGTTTGCTCGAAGCAATCTCACGTGCCATTCCTAGTGGTAAATTAACGTTTCATGCAGGAAGGCATATGTTGCTGAGCTCTTTGGTGTAGTGCGATTCGCACCTGGGAAGACAATTCCCATATTGTACATTCAGGAAGATTATATCATCACATCTGTTATTGGGGAACCTAAAGAATGTGTTATTTCCTGAGTGAAAAAGCCCCAATGACCACAGGAAGGTGGTCTTCAGAGGATTTAAGTAATTCACATTCGGTGGACTCCTTAAAGTTCAAAGCTTCAAGAGTGAGAATAAAATTAAGACATCATTGGCTAATGTTTCTCTTTTGTCTGTTTGTTTATCATCTAGATGAAAAATGATTTTGATCTAAAATGTCACATACCTTGCTACCAGTAGATTCTTACAAATACTGCATTGCTTTATCCTTTCATAGTGTACTACGACAGAGCTTTTCCAGCTGTATAACTCATGGAAATCAGCGAGATGCTGCCCTTGTGTTTGAATCAAGATGAACTTGAAAGGTGAACATTGTAAGTGGTAGAAATTATTTATAATTTGGTAATAAAAGTTTATGTCTAACACTCCAAATTTCATACATCTGCTATGTGCTGGCCTTGAGATATAGAACAATTGTGATTGCCTTTACATTTGGCCTTAGATGAAAGGTCATAAATTACAATGATAGAGTTCATACTCGTTCCCAGCTCACAAAATTTCCATATTAACATCTTCACCTCAAACATAAATGGTTACAAAGTTACAAAGAAAAGAGTTGTGTTGGCCTTTTGTCAACTGAACTTAATGATGGAAGTCAGTGGATCATATACTATTGCTAACTCTTAAACATAAAGCATCGCAGAATCCTTGTTCAGAGGACCTAATTAAAACTTTACAGTTAACTTTAAAAATGAAATGGGATTTGACAGTCTCTCTCTCTTCAATGCAATAAAACCCACTTCAAAGTTAGGAAGGTTTTTCTCTCCCAGCTACTTGAAATAAGAGCATTTCCATAGAACGAGGTGGCTATATACCACAGAATGTGTTAAACGGAATGTCCAGTTTTTCTACTTCTTGTGAAGTGTACACTATTAATGTAAGTTAAATGCAGAAGAACAACAATCCAGATGACAAAAGAATGTCTGTGGCAGATTTTGAATTCAGTCTAAGTAATCCCTGGCTAAAACCAGTAGATGAAAAAGAGAAGACATATTAAACAGTCCTCACCTGAAAAATGTGTCAGAGAGGACAAACCCATTCCAGCCACAATCACAGTATTCTCCATGATTTTAACAATCAATGTTGGTGCCTTCTTAGATTAGAAAGAAAAGAAAAAAGAAAAGGGGGGAAGGGGGGAGACGGGACATGGGACGACAAGATTTGAAAATTACGCAATAAAATAAGAGGCCAGAACGAGTTCTAAATCCAGGGAAACCTTTCTTGTTCACAGCCTCTGAGGGGGTTGGGACAGAAGGAGATGTTGGCCTCCATAAACTAGTGTCGAGGTGGAGAAGCTTTGCAATTCAAGATTAGCACTCTTATTGCAGGGTTTCCTGTGAGCCCTGAAGTAAACATGATACTACGTTTCTGGAGTTTGAGAGGTGGAAGGTGAGGTTCTGCTCCAACTGAAGCCTGTGGAAGTTTTGCTAAGTACTTCTCTGTACCAAGGATGCCTCTAAAAATTATTGAAAATACCCCTGAAATCTCAAAACAAATCCATCTTGATGAGCTGGTACCAAAAACATAACTGTTAGACTGATATTTGTCACAGCTTGTTTTTAGAAACTTCTCAGCAGTGGATTCTGGCTGCTGGCTGGATCCAAAACTGCTCCAGTGGACTCAGGATAAGACTCCTAGGTGCAGATCCTTTCCATCCACGTTGGATCAAGAAAGCACCATGCATGCTTTCTCATAGCTATCCCACAGGATTCCTAAGACAGAACTGCACTCATTGATGGCTTGTGCTGCTCAGCCTCATGACAAGAAAGCTTTTGCAACCCGAGTAGTTTGTGTGCTTTTCAGTCCTGAAATAACTCCTGTGCCAGAAGAGTGGGGACTAGCTTCCCCCTCATTGCTGTGGACCCCCAGGCTGTATTGTTTTAGCAAGCTAGTGGGTATGATTTGCTGAGGGCTTTGTGTCTCGCTTTGCATTGTCAGAGGCTGTGCTGTGTGCAGGGAATAGATCAGTGCCAGATTTGCACTTTGGCACAGGACTGCTGAAGCTGACCTCGTGACTCTCTTAAAGTTGGCATAACCTCCATGCTCTCCGTCCCATTCTTTTTCCTTCTGGGCTGTGCTCTTTCACTATGATTTATGCTTCTTAGAAGTCATCTTCTGATGTCCTGAGGGTGAGGAATTGGACATTGAAGAAGCAACAGAAAGGAAGTATTAGGATCTCCCTCCTTGTCCTCCTCAGCAAACTTCCTGGTAAACAGAGAGCTGTCAGCAGGTCTTCAGGGAGCTGGGGAGAATAACGTGAGAACTCAACCTGAGGCTTTCTCTCTGTCTCCTAGACTTTCAGGTCTGTAGATAAGAAAGGGAAGATCCCCAGAAGCTTCCAGAGTTCACTTAACTCCCTCTGAGTTCCTGGGAGTGCTCTCCTTGACTTCCCAAGGGACAAGCTTTAAGAGGTTTGACATCCCCCTTTGCTTGCATTTGGATGGGAGAGTTCAAGCCTTTCAGGATTTGAATGATAGTCTATCTGTGCCTATACAGTAAAAGATGAAAGATTTTTTCCCCCTAAATGAAGGCTTAGTTATCCAACATTATTTCCCATGCTATGCTAAGATTGTCAGAACTGCTGATTCCCAGCCATGTTCTCAATTAAAAAGTTAATGCATTTTTAAATTGATTAGCAATCAAAAAAATATTGGGTTTGTGCTACAGACTTTTGGATGGAAGTAACAGGTTGCCCAGAGAGGTTGTTGAGGCCCCATCCCTGGAGGTGTTCAAGGCCAGGCTGGATGGGGCTTTGAGCAACCTGGTCTAGTGGAAGGTGTCCCTGCCTAAAGCAGGGGGGTTGGAACTCAATGATCTTTAAGTCCCTTCCAACCCAAACCATTCTGTGAAGAGCCTAATAAAATTCTGCCTTCTTCAAGTTCTTACATTGTGCTCAGCACCTTGGTGTGTTCATGTCTTCCTGTATAGATTAAGTGACGTGTTTGCCTTTTGTCACATGTTTGTCTCTCCTATAGCTTAACAGATCACATGAAATTTGTACTTTCTGTTACATTAAGTAAAGGCTGGAAGCTCTGCTTGATTCTTTTCCACAACACTTAGCTAGATTCTATCCAAAATGTGATGAAATTGGACACAGCGTTTTGTGTTTAGACTTTCTAAAATATTTACATCAAAGAAACGCATGTTCTCTATTTTTTTTTTTCCAGTGTGGAATATCAATTCCAGATGACATTTCAATGTAAACTTTTCCATATCCAGCTCGATGATGCTAATTCAGTACTTCAGGCTGAAAACTCTGGTGTGAAGTTTAAGCACAGACACAGGCTGAAGTGCTTAATTTAAATTGACCTGTTGGTGTAGAGCATCTGCAAGGTTAGTTCCCAGCTCCCCAGAAATGCTTCTGATGCAGACCTGGGGATAGGAAGTAAACATGAGGCACCTATAATTTGTAGTGTGATAAAAACAATCCATACCTTGTTCTGAAATTCAGTGAAGAAGGAAGATTACAAAATTGTTCAGCCACCCTTCTGTCCCTCCCTGACCCTTTCCACTTAAGGATCCAGCTGATGCTCTGGGGAAGAAGTATCATCTGACTCATAGGGCAGATAAGTCTCTTTTAGGGAACTGACTGGATCTGCTGTCACCTGACGTCTTCCAGCCTCTCGGCCCAATTTTTCCATTTACCTGGCCCTCCATGGGTATTCCGTGTATGGGGAAAATGTGTGTTTGCCTGTCCTCAGAAAAAGCCTGAGAGCCTTTCCATGGATTTCAGCAAGCAGCAGATTAGGGATCAAGCCTAAAATAAATTGAGTGGGTTTTTTTTCCATCTACACATTTCAGTCTTCCAGAAATTTTAAGACATAAGCCTGAACCCAGCAGTGCCACTTTACTGTATGGAGCAGCTAGCACAGTTTAAGTAATAGTTGTAATAGTAGCAAATTGAGTTTTATTGACACAGACCACAACATTATATAAAAAAAGAAGTGTAGATAACTCTGAAATTCAAAGCATTTGCTGACACATACCAAGAAAAAATACTGGAAAATGCAGATACGAAAAAAAGAGATCAAGGTTTCAAGCTCTGGACTTGAAAACCTTTGGTTTTGTTGCTCTTGTATATTTGTAGAATATGCAGAACCTCCTTAGACATTACTGGAATGCAAATAAAGAACTAATAATCAAATGTTAGAGAGAAAATAAGTATACAATGAGGATTCAGTTTGTCTGTGTGAGGAGCACCTTCCTGAGTATTAGCCAGACTGAAAGGCACATGTGGAGGCTACCAAGTCAATGTTTGCTCTGCTGATAGGTGTTACTGTTGTGAGGATACTGGAAACTGACAAAAATTATGGTGTTTGTTGTAACTCAGAATACCTGGGTTCTCATACACCCCTGCCAGAGGTTTCCAGGGTGACTTTGGGTAAATCACATCCTCAGTGGCTCAGTTCCCGCATTCAATTAACAGAAATTTGATTAGACAGAAGAAGCTCTTTTTATTAGTATAAATTATTTTGAAGTGGAGGGAAAATAGGGAAGATAGATCCAGAAAAATCTCAAATATTCCTAGTTTCAGTAATTTTAAACATAAATATTTCATCTACTGTTAATCCAGGAAGTTACACGATTAAGTATTTAAAATAATGGAGATTGTGGTTAATCACTCTGTTCTTTCTGTGCCTTCACTAGCTGGAGAGCTCAATTTCTTTAGAAATAAGATGTGATTTAATGTCAATGTTAGGTCACTCCTAGAGCATTTGTGAGCTGGTATTTTCCAGTGGCCCCAATTCTTGGCTATTGACTACAGAATCATTATTTCTGAGGTTAAGGGAACAAAATGGAATGTGATTATTTTGTAATGTAACAACAAAAATAGGTAAAATCAAAAGGGAGCACTAGAAACTGTGTCTATGCAAGACAAACAGTTTCGGTAGGAATAAAACAAAAGCATAAATTTTCATATTAAGTCAGAAGTTAATTTTTAACTGAGTACATTATTTTTTTAAAAAACTTTTTTTATTTAATTTTTTTTTTTAAACTTTATTATAATTTCAATGGATGCACTAGTGAAAATAAGGGTGCTATCTATAAATATAGATCTGTCAATATGGTGTGGCTGCCTGTGACCCAGTCCCCAGGGCTTGCAGTTTCAGAGGTAGCAAAAACCTCAAACACAATGTTCAGATCTGATTCCCTGGTGTTCACACATGCAAGAAAATATTCCTATATACTTTATTCTTGACTGCTTTTACAATAAAAAAATGTATTACTGGAAAAATTATATAAAACAATATTGAAGGTTATGTACTAACTCTTCTAGATCTGTGCTAACAGGTATGAATGAATATTATCTTCTAAGGAGAGGGGAACGATGCAGGGCAACTGACTCACTGTTCCGTGGTCCATTTTTCAGCTTTCAGGCAAGATTGCCATCTGTGCTATCAGTGCAGCTCCACTAGTCCTAGGAATTGTAGGAGCTTTAGGGCAAAAACAACACCCAGCTTTTCTCACTTACCTAATCCTACCTAGAAAATTTAGAGGGCAGTAGTATAAAGTGCCTGTAGCAATCCAGACCACCTGTCATTAAAAATTGCACCCTTGCTGCTGCCGGTGGACCTGCATGGATATTGAAAACAATGGAGAACGCTAAGAAACCACTCATCATAGACAAGGCTTGTGACTGTGAAACTGAAAAGGTTCGAAAAGCTCTTCTGAGGAGAAGAGAGATGATACAAAAGCCTGATCAGTAGTCCTTGGAGGCTTTTGTGGCTAGGAAGGTGTTGGCAACATTGCTGTAAAATGGGTTATAAATCCTTATGACGTGGATCATTAAAGAACTATGTCTCTCATTACTTCGCTCTGCTCTGCTCTACATAAAAAGAGGACTTCATTCTACAGAGAAAAGGAAGAAAATCCCCCCTGCATTCAGGAGAAACTGGAAGGTGAAGAAGCAAGCAGTGTACATACCGTGCATTGCTTTTCTTTGGTGTCTTGTTTCATTTCACTTCCAGCTCCACTGAGTGAAACATGCTCTGGTTTCCTCCATGACATATGTGGAATACTCTGTTCTTGCCTCTTCAGATCATATCCGAACCATGTCATCTCCTCTGCTATTAAATTTTTTCCTATGCATTCACCTTCCTCATCCAAATCATAATTTTTTTACTTTTTCTTTTTTCATGGTTTTCACCTGTGTGCTTGTGTGCTTGGAACTGACACTACCAATTGATTTCACATAATGCACACAGCACAGCCTAAATATATATTTCTGTCTCTGGATGTAGGGTTCAGACGTTGAAATCAATGCCTTGGAGGTGAAAGGCTTCATCATCCATAAATAACCCTTGAGCCACTCATTTCAGCTCCTCAAACAGAGTATCAACAACGGAGTATGTAATTTGGAAGATGCAAATACACATGCTATGCTTGCATGCTGAAGTTTCCTCAGTTGGAGGGAATTCTAATGGAAATGGGGAATAGCAGTGGATTAGTATTTTCACACAAAATGGACAAGGGGATTAATTTTTTTATAATAAAGAAGCATCTTTGATAATTTTAGCCCATTAATGAATAATAAATTAATGATCACATGCTGTGTGAACGTTCAGGGCTGCCTCACGAAATGATGCAAATTTTCAGTTTGAAATCAGCAAGTCAAGTATTGGACAGGCTATTCTAGAGATGTAGGATCTGTTCTCACTTCTGTTGCTGAGCTGCTCTCAAATGTGAAGACAGGTCATCTCACCTCTCTGTGTCTCAGTTTCCCTTCTGTAAAACAAGAAGCATGATATATCTAAAGTGCTTTCAGATCAATGGATGAAAAGCTTTATGTAATAGGAAGGTATTATTAATATCCTGAAGATGCCATGAGAGAAAATGATCAATAATTATTTATATTTTTCTTTGCTGTTTAGGAGGTATTTTTCTACTGTCTATATTTTCTAAAGTCATATGCGTAACAGCTGAATGTTGTCACTTACTTGCAGAACAGACAAGTCTTTTTGTATCTAAATGATATAAAGATGAAAAACAGGTTAAATTCTGGTATGTCATTTCTCTCAAGGCTGGAGGGCCAAAGTCAAAGGGAAAATCTAGTGATTTACTGCGTGAGCATTAATAAATTCTACAGGACTGTATATTCATGCTTTACTCATACTGGTTTTTAAGCTTGAATTTTTTTTAGGACTTGAAATAAAAAGGATTGCTTTCAAAAATTGCCCCACATTAAATAATCCATGTTTAAGAAATTGTGTATTTATTTTTCAAGTAACCTCATTACTACCAGACTACTTTTTCCTTTTGACAGTAAAGCAGAGTGCTTATCTTCCATATTTTCATAATGAAAGCTCCCAAGCACAGGATACTGTGGCAGATTTACAGCCTGCGAGCAGCAGAACTGACAGGCATTTTAATATGAAAGGAGATATGATGTCTTTAATGTACAGTGATGTCACTTCTAACAAGGTAGAAGCCTGCTTTTTGCACTGCAATCACCATAAGAAGTGAAACCTGTCTGCTTCAGGAGTGACCTTTTAACCCAGGAAAAGGTCACAAATAATAGAAAAAAGACAGGACTCTGCTTACTCAGGTGGAAGGGCACGCTGACGTTGGAGGAGCAAGGCTATTGTGGATGTGCATTATCTCCAGGAAGTTGAAGCTAGAAATAGTCTAGCTAGAACTAACCTTGAGAACAGAAAAGGAAAGGATAATGAAAATCCTCAAGGGAGTGTTAAACTGAAAGCTAGATTGCCTGTTGACCACCTTTTTTCCTTTTATCCAGCATTGATTGGACCTAATAACTTGAAAGTGATATTGACAGCAATATAGTCTACCATTAGCTGGACACATGATTATTTCACTGAGATAAAGGACAGCAACCCGGTACTAAAC